TTCAGGGTTGATTTTTGTAAGTCTCTGATGATGTTTTTCAATAACAATGTTAAGGAGAGCATACTGACTGGGCAGTGGCCATCAATGGCAAAGCACCATGCTGTGCTACAAGAGCTAAGTCTGCATGACAAGCAGAAAAATGTGAAAAGGCATGTGATTGACTGCCATCAATTTGAAAAGCTTGACCAGAAAGTCATTAATTGACTTCAGCCTACAGTTCCTTGCCAACAATTCAGAAACAGGTGGAAAGGACCAAATGAATAGTATTCACAGAAACATTCCTCTTGCATTGCCTGTCCCTCAAAACAATTTGGAAAGTTTTGACTTAAATGAATAAACCCTAAAAAAATGCATTAAATGTCAGTGCAGCTTCTGTTTCATCACAAAAGTTAGCCCTAGCAGCACGCTCCTTGCAGCAAACGAGCTTTCTGGAAGGGCTGGTCACAATAGCACAAACCCAGGTATAGTTTGTAAAACTTGTTTTTGACAACTGTATGCAGTAGTTAAACCAAAACAGTTGCCCTGGAAACCTGTTTCTGGACAAGTCGTCCTAGCAATGCTGAGTTCCTTCAGTGAGGAGGGAGACCAGGAACATTTGGAGGCCATGCTGAGAACTAGAGACAGAGCTCAGGTTGAACTCTATCCCAGGCTCAACATTTTTCTCTGGGAATGGAAGGGTCATGCAGAGTCATAAAGACACAAGGCCACTTTGAGGTCTATAAATGGCAAATACCCTGTTTACTGAGCATGAACAGTGCAAGAGATCTTTGAAGCAGATCAATGTATGGGGTACTGCATTATGCTTTGGTTCCACATCTCCTGTGGATTACTTGTGGTATAAACACACCCGTATGCACGCACACTTCCCATCCCTCATTTCCACTCCCAATAATAGCAAAAATAAACATGAAAAATAATATTAAAAAACTCTGTATTCAGTAATATTCACACCAAAGTATATGTATAGATATATCCATTAAAATTATGAACATTTCTAAATATATTTTATGTATCATACATATATTTATATGTATAATTACATATCCACAGAAGTAGTCTTGCTGTGCTAAAGCCAGCAGTAAAAGCAAAAACAGGTTTCACAATAGGACACCCATATATGCATATGTACTGGCTGTTTGGTTTGTGAATTTATTTACAACTTAACTATATCATAATAAATGCTTACTGTTCTATTGTACAAACGTAATAGTAAAGGTTTAGGTTTGTTTTTTAAATACAAAGACTGCAAATGAATACATGAAAAAAATTACACACCATGTACAGTATTTATAATTTATAAATGCAAAGTTAAGACCTCTTTAAATTATTGCACTTGCATATTTTTTGTTTTTTACAAAGATAGTTTATATGTATCATATATATATATATGTGTGTGTGTAAATATATATATATATATAAAACAACCTTTTCAGCTCACTAAATGTAGTAAAGTTGAATGTTGTTACCTTGAAGTTCATTCTTCTTCACATAACAGCCCAACCTGGATTTTGAATATATATGAATCTACTCTACAAATCAGTTTGATCTACCCTAGAAAGCAGTCCGTTATTTTAGGTTTTTTGACGGAGTATACACCCGTATTACAATCGAGCACAGTTTTTGGTCAGAAAGCAAAATAAGAGTTATGATGTGCCTTTGCTAGATTGGGATATATAACCTAAAGTTTGAACATGAACTTCCTTGTAGTAGTGTGCAGAAAGCCTTTTCTGTGTTTAGAATGAACAAATTAATTGTTCCACTTCACAGAACTGTTCCTATATCACAGTGTTTGAGGCAAATGCATTATTTCAAGAGGGTCATAATTATTTTGAGCATTTAACAATCTCTACTTTTTAACATGAATAGTGCTACTTGCTATCCCTGCAATTTTAACACTAAATGCTCTAAATGCAGTCACAGCAAACTAATCACACTGTTCTAAGTTTAAACACATGAAAGAAGTCTGTGCCACATAAAAAGATGAATTCCACACTGCATGTCCCCTCCAACATAAATGTTTTATCACATACTCCAACTAAAAAACGTATTGCATTTCTCTAATGCAATAACTAAATGGCCACTTATAAAAAAAAAAATACTGCCATGAGTTGAACCATTACAGCAGAATGTTCTACTACTGTACAAAATTCACGGATTAATTATAACAGTGGAGTTTCTGTCAGTGCTGTAATAAAATACGCAACATCTTGGATGAGTATCATGCTATGTCAACTATTTTTCTCACTTAGTGCATACCTTTCAGGCACCATTGCATAATACATTAGAAATGCTCAGATATGGCTTCAAACACTCCTTTTACCTTTACCGGGCTTAGAAGGGAAGAGCAATTGGAATTATTAACAAAAATAATGCAGTTCTGGGAATATAAAGTGTAATACTTCCAGGAAAGGAGAGATCTGTTAGGTTTTTTAGACATTCTTATTGATCTTGGGCAAGATCAGTTTTAGCAAGATAAAAATGCAAGGAAGAATGGCTTTTGGCAGTTTAACTTAATGAGCCAGATGTCTTACAGATCTAGATGTCTTACTGCTCTATTTGTGAGTCCAAGTCCAGAATTTTGAACAATTAAATCTCAACATGTACTTGAGCCATGAAATTCAAATGCAGCTTCAAAGTTTTAATTTTTGGTGGTTTTGACTTTGGAAGTGTGGGTATAAGTTTGTTTTTACAAAAAATTTACACATCTGAATCTGCACTCTGTAAATGCTAAAACAGACTAAATTTGCTTAGAAAATACAGCCCATTGTGGCTGTTTTTGTTGGTCTAGGTGCTAACAAAGAGTAAGATTTTGTCCTGACCTTTCTCCTTTTACACACCAGGAAAACAAACCAAACCACAACCACTGGAGCCAAAATTTTTAACTCTAATGGACATTATTCTATAGCAAACATATATTTTATGTGGTTTGGATAGTTCTATATTAGAAACAATACCTGATTGACTTGAGACATTAATAGAAGAACTTACTGCTAATTTGACAAATTCGTTAGGGAAACATGTTCTGTATCAGTACTTATAAACTTCAAAACATAAAATATTATGTGATACTACCAAATATTTTGAATGGTAAGTTACAGAACTAGTCAAGTTATCTTTACTGTCAACAAGTAAAAGATCAATTAAAAGCTTTCCATAATACAGACACAGTGTGATAAGGAATATTTTTGCAACACTTATAAGATCAGCATTCAAAGAGGGAGTATAACAGCAAATGTATTAACACATGAAGGAAAAATGTTCCATCCAGTAGTTGGGGTATCTGAATTTCAGAGAGTATTTTTGTAGTAACCATAGATTTGGATAATTTTCACGTAAACATTATCAGCATTCAAAGAGGGAGTATAACAGCAAATGTATTAACACATGAAGGAAAAATGTTCCATCCAGTTGTTGGGGTATCTGAATTTCAGAGAGTATTATCAGAGAGTAGTAACCATAGATTTGGATAATTTTCATGTAAACATTAGGAACCGTGGATTATGTCTCAAGTACTTAGCGGATGAAAGGTTGCATCTACAAGATTTAGTTAAAACAGAACTGCTAAGGAGTAAAGCAGAGGACACAGCATGAGATACTATTCATTCTACTTTGGTGTAATTGTTTCCTGCCATTTTTTTTTAATCCCAAAATAGTTTGCTGTGGTTAACAACGAATTTCTGCACTTAGAATTGGCAAAGCAAACTGAAAAAAATTATGGGGCTGCTGCTAGGTAACCTGTATCATACAAATAAGATAACTTCATACTGAATTCTCAACATCTGGGATATCTATGTACTGCAAAGGCTTAGGTGCATTTATACATTATGTGATTACGTATCACATACTGTACACATGTACAGATACTGGTATGTGCTCGACCATAACAGAAGGCAAAACTCAAGATTCCAAGTCATTTACATGAAACCCATAAGATGGCATGCTTATTAGAGCAATACAGCTCAACAGACATGAGATGGAAAAAGACAATCTGTGTTCTGTCTTTAAGTCACTACTTTAAGTCACTATTATTTGTTGCAGTTACACAAATGGCCATGTTATCACGGAACCACTACAAGACTGTATTATCTGTGAAAAAGCATACAATGCAGCGTAGGCTGTATGCGAAAGGTATGCAAAGACTGTGTTTTCAGCTACTGTGTGGATCAATACAAAGATTTTTTTCTCATTATTTTTAAGAGAAAGATGAAGGCAAATTAAGCGTTGTTGAAACATACCCTGTACAATTGCACTAAATTTAAAAGCGTGGCATTAAATGTAAGGTCTTAAAGTCTGTGCGTAAGTTTGTAAGTCTGAAGCGTAAGTCAGCACAGACCTGTAAACACAACATTTTAGAGTACTCTTCTTCAGTCAGCTATTCTTTCATTGAGAAAGGCAGTTCTAAGCCTGGAAATTTTGCTGAACTAGGAGAAAAAAAGCAAACAGACAAATGGAGAAGTTTCCTAATTTCACTCATCTTGGGATGGGGGAAGAGAGCAGTAGAAGTCATGCAGTATTACTGTGCAACACAAAAGCTAGTCAATACAAAAACATTTTTGATTTATTGTGATGGTACCACAATCCCTCTTATCAGACCTGACTTTTCTGACAAGGCTTTTGTTCCCCACAGATAGCATACTTCAGGTGTGTCTCTAATACCTTTTAAAATACAACTCAGCAGGTAGAAATAAAAATGATGACTTTACTTAACTGTGAGCTAGGCAAGGAAATCTTTGCTCTCACATTTAAATTTTAATCTGATGCTTCTGTCACTATGAACACAAAAACTCCAACCTGGAACTCTCTCTCATATCAGAGATAAATATCCAGTACTTCCAGTGTTTTAAGGGAGGAGTTGTCTAGGTTTATAAATCATTCTGAAGAACAAAGCACCATCACTAGTTCTTTCAACCTTTGCCTTGTGAGTGACAGACAATTTGCATCATGACGCTTAATGAAGTACTTTAGACCTTTAACCTGAATGTTGGTTTTCCTTTAGTTTGCAGCAAGAGAATTCACTGTAACCTAAGCATGAATTATAGTCTCCAAGGATTCTGCTGGAGTTCAAACTGATTACAAGTAGATCACACATAAACATTCACAATAGCAATGGGTATATTGTTCTATTTATAGCCAAGAACTCCCAAGTGACACTGGTGTTAAAGCCAGCCACAGTACGGTATAATAAAAGTACCATTGAAACCCTTACTAGAAAGATACAATTTAGAAGTACCCCCTAAGATTTTTTTTTCCCCCATCAGTTTTAAATTAAGGCCTCAGCAATGTAGCCCATGAGATAAGGCCAGTCTTTTATATTCACAAGTTCTAAGTTCTCTTTTGATAGCTGATTCCAAAACATCTGGGTTGTCGTTTTCCTTCTGTTCACGTTGTGTCACCGGTGTAGGTCAGGCGATTGGCTGCCAGAGTCATTTAGCTGAGGTAACTCCAAGGGTGTTACCTTCCTAGGCAGATCTGCTTCTTAGTTAGCATTTTGTAGCTTTTCTTTTTCCTTTTTTTTTCCAAATAAAAATGAAACAAAACAAAAAACAACCCCCAAAACAGGAAGGGATGCTCTTCAGGTTAAAGCAATCTGTTGCTGCGGTTCAGTCATCGATCTTCACAGGAAGTGAATCTGAGGTCCCAGGAGCAAGGGACTGGGAGGGAATCCATATAGAGGCTTCCTCACCTCTTGTTACTTTCTCCCATTGGTTGAGATTGTCCCTGGAGATGCAAAAAAGTCAAAGAGGTAAAGCACTGTTCATAAGTTTATTAGGATTTCTTCCTAACAATACCGTCTGCTGTACTGTACTTTGCGATGTAGCTTTATGCTTTATATAAGTACCTGTATGTCATCAAGCTTTTATCATCTTTACATTATTTCATCCTTTACCTTCAGGTATCCCATTTTGTAATCTCGTGTGGCTCGCATACATGTTGACTATATATAAGCCTATGGCATACCTTCCCCAAAACGAGCCCTGGAACTACTGACTAGCACCTGCTTCCGTTACAAATTTCTAGCCCTCATGGCTGCAGAGAAAACCCAGCTGTGACCCAACAGAGACATGTCTGCAGAGAGTCTGAAACAGCAGTCTGGAGACAAGCAGCCTTCGTCACTTCAGACTTCAGGGATTTTACCACAGTATACTTTGGCTCTTTTCAAAACCACCACAGAAATCAGGACTTTTGCCAGGAAATTTCCTTCACTGAAAGCCACAGAAGCGCATTAAGCCTTCCAAAACTCCTGCACATGGGCTGCCTGACAGCTTATGAAATGTTGCATGCCAACATCATAGTATCACCTTTCAATTACTAACGTGGTGATCATACTATCAATCTACTACATTTAAAGAGTACCCCTTCCTCAAGACAGAAAATTTTTTTTAGTGTCTCACAGCCTGGCCAACCCCCAAGTCCAAATTTTAATTCACAAGCCATAAAATGATGAGAAATTAAGCTGGTAATGTTCTAATGATCTGAAGGGAGTACAGACCCATAATCTTACTTGCTGTACACTAGTAGCACTCCAGTAACTTGGAAGTCTGTGTTGATGATATCCAGCATTGGACCATACTTGCAACCTGTGGCCAAATCTAGCGCTCAGTGTTCAAAGACAGAGAGAAAGAGAGCAACCTCAACTGTTTCAATTTCATACTATCAGATACCTAGTTACTAAAACAACAGTTCTTAGATGTCTTCAGTAAACACACAGGAATGTTAAAGCTCTAAGGTCTTACACGCTATGTGTCATATTATCGTATTACTTTGGAATTTATGCTTCCGATTTTTATGTCACAGCTTTGCTGAAACAGTTGATAAAACAGCAAATAATGAGCTGAAAGCACAGTGAACAGGTAAGAAGAGAAAACGTTGCATTTTCTGGGGATGGGGGACAGCAGGATCTGATGGAGTCTGCCGAAGAAAGCTGGTGCCCTCTAGGGGAGCACCCACACCATTTTCTGCAGGCAGGTGGAAGTCATGAAGCCAGTGTTAGCACAGCGCTGAATCTCAGCTAATACACTCAGGCCCTAAGGATCAGAAAAACTGAACCGTCACTATTTCTAGGTCCCTTTCTTGAAACTGGGAAAGTAATGAGGAGAACTGCAGCTGAAATATTTTTAAATTATATCAATTTCAGCAAGAATTGAGAGACCTGAAAGCACATGGAAAATTGTTTAAAATTATTTGGTCTGAAATAAAGGAAAAAATAAATCACTTCACCTCATCCTCTAAATAAATATTCTATCATAGATTTGCCACTTTGGTAAGCCTATTGAGTATGTGGGCTACAAAACACACATAGAACATACTCTGAACACTGTAACACAGGCAGCTGGTAGTTTTGATCTACACAGAATGACAAGAGAGTATTTAAAAATGTGGAATAAATTACTGGACAAGAAAACCTTCTAGATTCTTAGCTGCCACCTTACCTTAGGGAAATCAGTGACTGATACCTTTTTTTTTTGTAAAGATGCAGATAATACAATTCATTTGCCTTCGTGCTCCCAATGAAGCCCTTGCTCCTAAGTGTCCGGAATAAATGCCCAGAGGCTCTCAAAATAAAAACCTTGATGCTGACATGCTGCTTCTGCTGCTATTATTTGCAGCTGGTGTCTATGTTCCAAACAACTCAAGGACACGGCAACTTAAACACTGCGTTCCAAGAACGAGCACTGCTGGTGAAGGGGTGATATCAAAATCGGTTCAGTCAGCAGCTGAGGCAATAACAACCAGGAATGAGGCTTTATTTGTCTCATCACACTGCATAACAGTTACCCATCAAAAATAAAGGAAAAAAAAAAAGTGTAGTGTAAAATCAGTTATTTGAAACACTCTGGAGTAACATAAACCCTGCAACAAAATATATTCTAGTAACTGGGGAGTTGATGTTAGATCTGTGTTCTTGATTTCCTACTCTGCATCTGCAAGTCTGAAGTCTCAGCACTCCCTCCTCAGCCCCCTCAAACAGACAGCAGAGGGTAATTTCAAGGCTAAGCTAAAACTATCAAACTGCTCCTCAGAAGAATTTATGCCAGGGTGTGGATTTTCAGGAAGCTCTTTAGTCTTACGGAGATCTTAAACCCATCCACACATCTATGCCCCAGTTCTGCATCAGTGCAATCTAAATTAAGGAAGAGCAAGGTGGGGAGCTGTGTCTGTACAGAGCTGTGCCCAGTCTGGAGATCGTGCCCGTGTAGCTTTCAGAAGTATCAGTATTATAACTACAATTGGAATTCCAAACAACAAACTTAATTTCTAGAATAGAAGAAGTTCATACAATCTCTGCCAGGAGTCTGATTGCTTTTACTTCAGACATTACACTTTTTGCAGATAAACCCACTCTTGAAAAGATGTTCATGCTTGATCTTCAGAAGCATGGAGAACCTTTCATCTAGAACACATATGTATGTGGGTGCTTGATACTCTGCAATTCAACTTTAAACCTTCTCAGCTGAGTACTGAAAGATGGACCGTCAAGTATTACAAGCCACTTTTGCAAAGAAGCCTCAGTTGGATATCCATGTGGCTAGACATCAAAAGACATGGGTCCTCTCAGAACCCTGCTCCTGAAAAAGATGCTGTGCAGTCTTAAGCACTCAGCCTAGCCTCTCTAAGCCTCTGTTCCCATTATGTGGAATAACAATGCTAACTTCTTACCAAAGGTACTGGCGGGCTTATGCAAATGGTTCTACAGTAAATACAAACCCATTTTTAAGACCTCCCATTTGATTGCGCTAGTTACAGAACTTTCCTGACATCCAGTGCTGAGGTTACTTTATTATCATACAGACTCTGCAAGACATTTTCACATTAAAAGCATTTAGATACTGATTTGGGGAGTAAAAGTACACCCAGATGTTGAAAAATAAGTAATACAAAAGAAATAAAAATTTTCACATATATAAAGCAGTTTGAACAATATTTGTTAGCTTGAGTAGAAACAAATAACTGGAAACACTCATGAGAATTTTTGGGTATCACAGTTGATGCTGTTTAGTCCATGTAAACAGTATAAAACTCTTTCTGACTGTAAACATGGTTACGCAAAGCGCAATCTGTGTTCCAGTTACATGGATTGAATAACCGACCATTTAGCTTTCAGCCATCAACACAGCTGAAGCAACATGCCTTCAAGCAAGGATTACAAAGAGAAAGAAGTCAGAAAACTTCCAAGATCTCAGACTACCTCTCAGTAAAGCAGCTGGATGACTCACGACCTTGTAAAGACTGAAAGGATTACAAGCAGTTCTGTAGTTTACTTCACATTCTCTGATTTCACGCTGAAAGCAACTCTTCTTTATTTGTCAGAGTACACATTATTCAATTATCTATAATCAAACTATCAACACATATGTATTAGGTCAACACAGCTCAGGGAGTACACATTCCTACCCTGCACTGTAACTCCGAATTCCAAAACAGGATTTGGACTTTGATACCATTATGATAGTAACACACTCTACAGCATTTTGAAACTAGGGAAGAGTTTAATGCTATATTGTAACTGATGGAACCACTAAAATATGCACTTATGAATACTTCCACATTACTCAATTTAGAATAACAAATTACTGCCTATTAGTTACCAGACATTGTTACTTTCATAGCTTCTCAGGATGAAAGACACTACTTAAGGACCACCTAGCCTGACTGCCTGGAAAAGACGGGCCTTGGCAATTTCATCACAGAAACTGTGCTTCAGACCTGTATCCCTTTTACCTCTCTCTTTTAAAAAGTATACCTAGCTTTGGTTTAAGACCTTCAACTGACATTATTCCAAATGTTAAAAAAGACATTCACCATATTCCTTGTTGAACCTTTGGGCTTCAAGTAGTCTTTACCTGCTAAATTGTCTAATCAGAAAACATACTATGGAGACAGTTACAGATTTTGATAAAGTCATTCTCTTAGATAAACTAAACACATTATATCAGATTTTTTAGTCTCTCACTACTAAGGTCTCAAAACATTCTTTAAGCTCCTTCTTAATCTTCTCTTATTTGCTAGTGTCTTTATCTACTCTTCTTAAAGCACAGACACTAAACAGGATTCCAGCTGTAGCCCCATTAATGTAATAACAGAGGTATAGTCTCTAATCCTACTTTATATTCCCTCCATATCCATGTAAGTGTTGCACAGCCATGCCCAGCAGCGGGACCTTAGAGGCAGCTGACTACTAATGATGGCCCTTAGATACTCACTGTTTTTCGTAAGATAGTCCTTTTTCCCACTGGTACAGACCTACGTATTCTTCTCATAGCTATATGAAATAGCATTTGGGTGCAAATGAAATTATTTTGCTAACCACTACCTTAAATTTCATGGCATTTTGTACACAGTGGGCATCCTTCTGTTACTTCACACAGATCATTTAGCACACAGATCAGGAAAGTGACAGAGTAGGTAGGTGCGCCTTACAGGACAAAGAAAAAGTTCAATGGAAGCTAGAATTTAAGGACCACAAGAGGGAAAAAAGATTATGAGAGAGGTGCTAGTAAAAGCATAGAAAAACAGGCCTCTTCTCCCTGGATGTGACTAAAGATTGCTGGCATTTTATGAACTAACTGTTTTTCCTTAGACAATACTGATTAACCTGAAACTAGAACATTTTCATGAAGCATACGGTGTCAACAGAAATTTTGTCAGGAAAGATTGCTAAGGTCCAGGATATAATTATTGGACAGAACTACCTACAAAGAGATTCACCATCATTCCAGGGTAGAAGCAGCCAATTGGTTAAGGACCCTAGACTCTCCTCCAGAAGACCCAATCTACATCCCAACTGACTGATAGGGCAAAGTTACATTTGTCTCTCCCACATCCCAGTGGTACTACCCTTATGTCCTAACTACTGAATATTCTGGGGATCTTTCATTTTCTACTTTTTAATAAAAATGTTCTGACATGAAATAAAACCACATGCCAAACCCACATTTTTTAATGAAGCAGAATTCTAGCCGATCTTAGTTGTGAGAACCATGTTGAAGTAAAAAGGACAGAGAGGGAAATTGCACTGAGCAGCCTAGATAGGGATACATAAGCACTGTTTTTCTCTAAATGCTTTTGGCGTCAAACATGTTTTAATAGCTGTGTCTGTAGATCTGCATTGGATAGTCCCAGCCAGTAGTTATTGCCTCTGGGTTTCTGCATAGATTAACGTGAGATGCGTATCCCTGTTTATCTGCATGCAAATTCTAAAATTAAAAGTCTGTATTTCCAGACAAACTTGCAAAGCATGTTTGCTTTTTCTTTAACCAAGCTACACGCTATGCCAAAACTGACACATTTACTCACCTGCATGCTCGGAGTAGTGGCCCAGTTGGAGGAAAGATCTGTGCAAGTGTGGTGTAACATGGGATGGCTACAGCATTGTAGAACCCAATCTATGAAAAACAGCAATGAAAAAAAAAAAAGTTAGATGTTGCCAAACTACAACACTGAAAGTTAACAGCCAACTAGTTCAAAGCTGTTGACTACTTACTTAATTACTACTTATGTTGGTACTTCATACTTCTGCATCTCATCTTAATATCCGAATACTTTAAAATGAAGCACTAACAATGAAATCTCTGGCAATTACAAGTTGCTTACGTGCCTCTCTCTTAGGACTAATATGGCTGCTTCAGATAGGATTTTCTACAGGACCTTTATTATTCAATTGATTCAATTGATTTGCTTAGCATCTGTCTGGCTTTTTGGTGTCAGTAGTGGCAGGAGGTAGGTGCAGATGGCAGAGCCATTTCTGCAAACATTATTCTTGTGATGAAATTATGGTCAGATTCTGGATTGTTTTGATGTCCTCCAAAGTATGTATTCCATAGTTCAATTTACTTGAGATGCTAGGGGCTTTGCACTTTTGGAAAGTTTCTAAAAAGGTGTGCACCGTGATCAATAATTGGTTTGCAATTTCTTTTCATGTATGTGATTCAGTGATATATTTTTACCATTATCATATAAATCTATTTAGAGAACATCAAATAAGCACCCTTTTAATGATATCTGATTCATACAGGCTTAGGGGCCTATGACAGCTACCATGTCACAGTTGAATTGCCATGACATGAGGAAATTTTTAAAAAACGCTACTTATATATTAGCAAGGATGACAGGTTAAATTCAGATCCATTATAACATCACTCATTTATCCCAGACTCTCATGATAGTTACAGTAGTGCACTATGATCTCTTTCTTTGCGCAGAGTTTTTAAATGCCTCCTAGTGAAATACCATGTATTGTACTGTGACCAAAGCATTTGATAAGAAGTCTCTTTTGAACTGTCTAAACATTATCCCTTATTCAGAAATTGAAGAGCAACTCTTGTCTTCACCTCCATCAATACAGAGATTCCTCTCATACTGCTATGTACCCAAGTCCATTCCGTACTTTAAAAAAAGATAAGATACATTTTCTGACCTGAGAACCCAACAGTCTGAGTTGAAGTAATCATGATGTAGCTGACAGAAAGAAACTGCAGCTGGTGAGAAGGCAAGGCTGCACACAGCTGTGATGTCTGCTCATCAACAAAATGTTTGCTGTTTTGCATAGTGCATTGGTTTCTTCCTACATGTTTTTTTCTTGTGTTTTTCTTTTTTGTTTCTTTTTTTTAAAGAGGAATATTTTATTTCACTGGAAAATAGCAGATTACTCCATAGCTCAAAAATTAAGTGGGACCTTAGGTACAGTCACACTGTAGACTTTCTGGCTCAATGAGAAGTGTGTTGCCATTGCAAAACATAAAAGATTTCAACCAAATTAAGTTCATCTGCAATATATTCCAAACAACCTTCTCTTTAGAACCCTCATATTTAAAATGTGTCCTTTAAGGTCCTGAAAGCTTTTAAGTTAAAATGCACATCATTCAAGGAAGAAAAACCCTGAAAGGCTCAATGGATTTATATTGTGAATAAAGCCAAGCTAACTAAAAACACTCCTTTGCAAAAAATTTCATTTCTGACCAGAGCAAACTCACACAAATCCCTTTTGTAAAAGGTTTAGGTTATCTGAATAAATTATTCCAGACTGATTTTTATGTTGCTGTGGCTAGACAGAAAGCCTAGAGTTCACTCAGATATGAGCAATCAGTTGAAGTCACTGCAGGAAAGGTAGTGTACGTATAACTTAAGATGCATAAGAAGGAGGAACTAGAGAATATCTTTTGTTTCTGAAATAAATTGTTCCTGTCTCTTCAAACTGTGCATCCTAAACACACTGCTAGCTTTAAGAGCTGTATCTTTAATGATGTTAATGATGATAAACCTTTTATTTTCAACCTGAAAACTGTATTTCTGGGATAAGCTTTGAATGGCTGAAGCACGTGAACTGTTCCTTCTCTCTCCCTTCATTACTCAGGCTGGCTTGACTTGTTTATCAAAAGGGCTTTCAGGTCACTGCAGAGTTTTTGCATTTCTATTTTCTTCACAGGTTCCAGGAGAGGCAGAAGGGGAGAAGGGGGGGCAGAAAAGAGCGTGATGGGATCCTTGCTGAGTCAGGAACAAATCTACAGTGCAGGCTCCACAATAGGAAGACACCAAACTCAGAGACCTTACATGAGTTGTGCTGCAAAGCATGTAAAGCACAATGGAGACCAACTGTTCCAGCCACCCAAGTGAGAGGAAAAGCTAAGTACAAGCTATTCTCATCAAAGATGAGTACTTGAGGCAGAAGTAGTTTTTTTTCAGAGATTACATGTTTATACAAATCCTCATTTCCTAAACATCATTGTTATTTAAATAAAGTATTGATGTTTTAATTAAAATCCACATAAAAATACTCATTAATGCTTTTTGTTAGAGCCCAAGGAAATGGATGATAATGCTTTATTAAATTCTTCAGTCTCTACATAAATATAGGAATGGTTACTTTCACAGAATTATATACGTCCTAAACCTCACATTTTGCTGTAACGTTGTTGTAAGATACAGAAGCCGCAACTATACTACTGAAATTGGCTTTTAACATCCTATTTTGCTTAATATTTTACTGTTATACTATTAAGAAGCATGAAACAAAGCACAAAGTTAAAAAGAACCTGATGAAGACAGTACCTGGAACAATACTTGGCACTGGTGAGGCTGCACCTTGAATACTGTGTTCAGTTTTGGGCCCCTCACTACAAGAAGGACACTGAGGTGCTGGAGCGTGTCCAGAGAAGGGCAACGAAGCTGGTGAAGGGTCTGGAGCACAAGTCTGATGAGGAGCGTCTGAGGGAACTGGGGCTGTTTAGCCTGGAGAAGAGGAGGCTGAGGGGAGACCTCATCGCATTCTACAACTACCTGAAAGGAGGTTGTAGCGAGGTGGGGGTTGGTCTCTTCTCCTAAGTAACCAGCGATAGGACGAGAGGAAATGGCCTCAAGTTGCACCAGGGGAGGTTTGGATTGGACATCAGGAAAAATTTCTTTACTGAAAGAGTGGTCAGGCCTTGGAACAGGCTGCCCAGGGAAGTGGTGGAGTCACCATCCCTGGAAGTATTTAAAAGACGTGTAGATGAGGCGCTTAGGGACATGGTTTAGTGGGCATGGTGGTGTTGGGTTGACGGTTGGACTCGATGATCTTAGAGGTCTTTTCCAACCTTAATGATTCTATGATTCTATGAATACTTACTGCATTTTAAAGAGGAAAAAAATAGCTTATTTCTTATATCTGCTTTCACCCCATTAACAATTCTTTCACATATGCCAGTATGACTACATACTATAATACTGTGTACTTTTCAAGATGTTCAAAGATAACTAATATAGCGTGTGGAAAAATAAACCAAATGCAGAAGAATGTTTCTTCTCTTCTTAGGCTTATACTAAACACACAAATTTAGTAAATTAACTGCTAATTCCTTACTATAATACAGGTAATAGTTTTTATGCTAAAATATGATAGAGAATATGGATTAAAGTGTCAGAATACAAAAATTTCCATACTTGCTTACAAAGTAATTAATCTACAGCGATTTTGTGATACTTTGTCATTTCTAATTTATTTTAAATATTATTGTTTATTTCAGAGTTTATTAAATACTTTGCAACTGCCAACTACTGACAAAGCATCAGAGGCCGCTGAAATTAAAAAAAAAGAAAAACTTATACGTATATGTGTATATGAATGGACAACGGACAATTTAAACTTCTTTTTCTCTGCTCAGATAATCAAAGGACAGGCTACCTTTTTCGTTTACCCAAAAAAGTTAGTTCAAAGATGGTTTTTTTCCCCTCAGATTTATGTTTACAAAATACGAAATTTCCCTAGGGAAAGCATAAAAAAGCATTCATTTCTGCACATTTGTGCACAGGAAAATCACCACCCAAAGACTTTGAAAAACAGACAACTGAGGCTCTTAGAAATACACGCTTTATTGCTTATCCTTAAGAAACTCTTCATAATTTTTTTTTTTTTTTTTAAGGAATGTCAAAAAGCAGTGTTTATAGTTATTCAGTGAAGAAGTATTGGTCTAAAATTACAAATATTTCGAAATCTGAATCTGGGTATTTTAACCAGGAACAGGTGACAAAGTTAATTTTGCATTCAGGATAAAACAGTGAAACCTTTCAGCTAAGGGCTGTAGCAACCACTTACGAAGTTGAAAAAGTGTTATTGACACTTCTCAAAATCATAGGTGATTGTCGTTTTAGCTAGAGTTACAAGTACAAAGAATGGAACAGGTGGCAACAGCAAAGAGCACATTGTCATTTAAGTAATGTCTTTGAAAATAAGTTTTCCACTGCTACTTAAAAAAAATTAACCCTGTTTCGCGTGCAGAACATAGAATTCAGCAGCCCACATACCCTAAAGTCAAATGAAATATTCACTAATATATAAAATGTTTTTTCCATACATGTTTTATTAACACTATAAAACATGTATCATTTTACAGAGAGAGTTCATACCTGACCCTGAGGGACTTCATCCTTCTTGTCTCTGTCCATCATAGGAATAGGTTGAATACCTGTTTTCTTCATTTCATCACCCTGGAGAAAAGCAGAGAGAGAGACTAGGAAACAAAAATCAAGACTACTGAGATCTGAATCAATTTCCATCTTCTATTGTATGTCAATCTAAAAATCCAGAATTTAAAATAACGTGTGGTACCGGTCTAAGGCAATCTCAGAAAACTGCCTAAGGAGGGGCTCATTTTATACATTCACTTAAATAATAACGTAAAAAGCAGATCCTGAAAGTTTTTGAGTCAGTGTACACACATTTTCCTTGTTTCCAAGGGCATCTCCATAATAAAAAGCAACTGGAAGAATAAAACCAAAGAAATCAGTTCATTCTATTCTGTTCTATTCATAGTTAGTCTCATATTTCAAAACATTACCTGTTTAAAGCACTATAATACAATGACCAGTAGAACACAACTCACCCATCCAAGGAAAAGCTGAGTGAAACAGATGAATTTAGAATGTGCCCTCTTTCTCAACAATCCAGTCTTTTTGACCATGCTGCTTTGAAGAAGCTGCCTGTCAAACAGCCTTCTTTTCTTTAAGTACGTTATCCCTCTACATTCATAAGAGGAATATTGGAAAGATGCAGTATATCCAAAGATCAGATATATGTAATGTCCAAGAGAAAACTGTCTCCTTATATTTCACCCATTACCAGCAGAGCAGCCAAAACAAATTTCTGAGCACTGTACTGGGCCTGAATACAATTAGTCCTTAAAAATCCATAATTAGGGAGAAAGTTTATGCAGGATAACTGCTCATACAATATTTGCTTATCTGTGTCCTTTAATGTGAGATTCAGCTCACAGAGGTTTAGCTATCTGAAAGCTTGAGACGTTCCCTAAACCCATGTTCTATGTTTCTGCTACAGTTAGTGAATGCATCCCCAGAAGACAATTTATTACACCTTTCTCATAAGATTTTACCAAGCCACGTTTCAAGTGGATCCTCCCTTGGATTTTGGCACCTTTACTCAAAGAGAATTTTGCAATGTAATAAATTGATTCTGGTCTGAGCAGAGCATCTTTCTGTTTGACTGCCTTGCAACTACCTTGAGTGTAGAAAAGATTGGGGCTTCTGGAAGTCAATTCCCTCTTGCATATTTGGCCTCAACATCACCTATTGACTATGATCCTGGTCAATTAACCAACAAGAGATGTAATCAGGAAGCTATTTGTGAATTGGTGTCTGTACTATTCTCTCATACCACATATTTCTTTCACCAAGTAGTTAGAGAGGCTAGAATCATTGAATCTAGTCTCTGTCAGATGTTTTACTGTTGAAAGAAACAAAAGGAAAGGCCTCCCTCCTCAGCTGATAAAAAAAAAGATGCCTGTAACAATTCCAAGCACAGAAATTCAGTGAATTGTTATTTAGGAACTGTCAGCAGTTTTGGTCTTATAAGCCCCCAGTAAATAATATTTAATTTTTTTTCCATTTGCTTGAAGTACTGCAATTGATTGATCTAGGACTGTCTGCAGCTACCATAGTCTCAATGATAAGAACCTCAACACTAAACCATTTAGCATCATATGATTTTAAGCTCTTTGATTAACATCATATCAAGTGCCTGAAAAACACCTGAAGTCAGAGCTGTGAGAAAGCTGTCCAGCCTCTGACTGATTTATGCCAAAACTGACCAAAGCTCAGATTTATGTTCACCATTTCACCTCGAAAGAAAAAGGTATCACAGAATCACAGAATGGTTTGGGTTAGAAGGGACCTCTTGGGATCATCCAATCCATCCCACACATCTACCCCAGCAGGATCAGCTAAAGAGGTGATCCAGGACTGTGTCCAGTCAGGTTTTGAATACCTCCAATGACGGAGACTCCACAACCTCTCTGGGCAACCTGTGCCACTGGTCGACCACCCTTACAGTAAAAAAGTAATACGTTTAGATGGAACGCATGCACCAGAAACACAAGTGTGTTCTTGTGTTCAGTATGTGTGAACACATACATGATACACTGTTGTAAAAAATATTGGTTTTATCCTCATAGTTATAATCATGATCAGAAAGTTAAAGTTGAAATTTTAAGCAAAGAAGTTTGTATCGTACTTGCAGTATGGCTATGATAAGTGGCTTATAAGTCTCTTAAAAAAAATACTGCAGAAAGGGTTTAACAACTGCCTAATGTCTCATATCTCACAAAAAAAAAAATCACAGCAGACAAATCTTATACAAGCTTGTAATCCTATATAACTGATCAGCAAACGTATTAGTTTGCTTGAGTTGTAGCACTGTGGGAAAGCTTCATGCTGAGCGATATCAAGGCAGATCTTAGCTGAAAACACTAGCTATACTGGGCTTCATTCAATGAAAAAAGATCAGTGTGACATACCACAAAATTGCTGCAACCTCTTCTGCAGTTATTGTTTTAGTTAATGATTACACAAAGAAGAAATATTATAAAAATGCTCTGATTAAATCATTCAACATATTATGAACTCAAGTAGTAATTAGAAGCAATATTCCATCCTACTTTTAGAACTGTAACACAACCATTCATTCAATCTAGTCAAATATACTTCTCTAAAGTTTACCTTTTTCCCCAATTAAGTAACAATTTCTGCAGTGAAACACAATCTAAACTTTCTATTGGTTTAGCTTTCCCAGGATTTTCTCTATATGTCTCCCGCTTTCCAATTTCCAGAAGCATTTAGACCTGTGGCTGGATTTGTCAACCATCCTGACTGGATCACAACATATCCAACTTCTGCCGTGTATCAATTAACCTCTTCTTAAAGAGGATTCAGTAAAACACCAATTACAGAATTCAATTTCTGTCAATAGCTTCTAATTTACATTTTCTCCATGAAGTAGCAATATAACACGATCCACCTTTATTAACTCATCCTTGGATTACAAAACAGGTTAAAGTCTGGGCAGGCTCAACTATGTCCATAATTCCATCTTTACTAGAGGAAAAATCAGTTTGATCCTTCCTGCTCCACTGAGTTCACAAGATTTGCATTAAAAAGTCTTTTTACTTGTAAGCAAAAAAGTTGAGTATGTAATCAGTGAGGCACATCGACATTATACCTCCATTGTATCACTTATAAGAACACTCACTTTCCAGTGCTGACATTTTAGAGAGTACTGAACTAGATCTTTGAGCTCATACAGTCTGCATTTTTCAAATATTTTATTGTAGTCTGGGCTGTTCATAATTAAGAGAATGAGAACATGTGGATACAAAAAACACCCACAAGCCATGCACATCTTGAATTTCATAGTGAACATGCAACAGGCAGGACAACAATCTCCACACTATATGCATGCTACATCAACTCTGTGGGCCTGATTTCCATTTTACACCACTGAATTCTGCAGACTTCCACAGGGCACATAATAGAAAAGAACAACTCTTTATGAGACACATGTGCAATAGGAGTTCTGAAAATACACTGCATAATTCAACTCTGTGCAACACCCTCAGAATTTATTCCTTATCCCTAAAGTAGTCACTTCCACTCTAAAAATTAAACGATTAGAACATTTACTCCTCAGCGTAAGACACGTAAGAGATTGCATCTTTATTTATGAACATGATTACATTACACAGCTCAATGCCTTGTTTCAGTTCTCAGTACATCTTATCTGTGGAGTAACTTTCAGTATATTAAAAAATCAGCTCTCTCTGAGACCCAGTTGTTGAGCTGGCTTACAAAGAAGATTCAAATGGTCGGATCAGAAGAATTTTAAGGTTTGTCGTATTTGCTTTAGCATTTCCTGGACTCATACTACAGCTTTATAAGTGTATTTCAAGGCAGCTGACCTGGAAGCTGGTTTCGTATTTTGGATTTCTAGAATACAAATAGATTCTTCACAAAACTACAGTTAGTGACTCAAAAAACCTTACAGATTTTCTTCTGTGCTCTGTTGCTTGGTCACTTTATGTTAGGACATACTTTCTAAATTTATCTTTAACAGAGAGAAAAAATGCTGCCTGAAAATTAGGATGCTAACTCAGCTCTTTAAATAGCTTCAGAGTAAACAACAGAACATGTGCATGCACCAATGAATACCTTTTAAACAAGCATGCTAAGATATGGATTGAAAAATACTTATGGTTGTTTTTTAATTCCTGGATACTTCCATTTATAAAGAGAATAAACAAAAGAAATACACATACCTCAGCCCAGAATTCCGCATATATATCATTGGCCGTCAGTCTGGTAACTGGCCACAACTTTGTTACAGAACACAAATCACAAGCCGTCATCATCAGACCAATCACTCTATCTCTAAAATAAAATAACAGTAAACTGTAAGTTTGGTAAAGAATGACCACACTGCGGAGTTTTTATTTGCCCTTCCTCAGTTCAATCAGCAGTGAAGTATATATACTACAAAATTTCTTCCACCTTGCTTGTTTCTTCCTCACTTGTTTATGATTCATTGGTAAGGCATCACACAAATTGTATATTATATTCCCTGCATTGTTTGCAACCAGAGTTCATTGACCATCCTCTGCAAAATCACATTCATAGAAAAGTACGCAAGAACGCCTGCCTGTTAGAACACTCACGTGCCCCTCCTTAATTTTCTGAAGATACACTACAAGTCTATAAAAAGAAAGATGGCATATCCTGTTGCTGCATTTCTTTCTGTTCTTTAAAGAGAGAGGAACACATGCTCCAAAAAGAGGAAAAACTAGTTCTGCGTCTATCTTAAGGTACTCTGTCATTGCTTTGTTGGAATAAATTCTAACCTTGACAGAACAAGAATCCTACACGTAACTCTGTCCTATACACTGACAAAACTGTTCACAGAATAACTGAACAGCATCAGTAGGATTATAATCATTATTAGGATAAGGTACACAAAAAAAAAATCTTATTTAAACAGTTTTCTAGCGCTCGTCTACTACCCAAACCTACGGTTTATGAATCTAAGTTTTATAAAGAAAACTGGCAAATTAATGAATGAATTCACGTGTTTTCCACCCAATGGAGAATTTAAGATGACACTTAAGGACACCTGCATCTTTGTTAATAATGTGTATTCCATGAAAAAAGCACACAATTTGCTAACTTGCATGCCAACGTGATGGCAGTCATTAAAACTGTACCCACAGACAAATATACTAGGGAAAATACATAAATACACAATATAACCAATAGATAAATGGCAAAGTGCAATTCCCCTGAGTTAAGAAAGAGGATTCATCAGACAAGTAAGGGCCAATTTAGCATTCCATTGCACGTACAGATACCAATTAGAAGTCTTGGATTCTTTGGCCACATTACAAACTGATGTCCTATCTTCAGGCACGTGGCTGTGCACTGAAAAATGCTCTGAGGGCAGGTAAGATAGAAAAAAAAAAACCCCACCATAATAGAATATGCAATCACACACTAAATAGTTGTGATCCTATTTAAATTTTATAAACCCTAAATTTAAGATTTCTGGTAAATTTTATTGTAAGATTATCAGGAACTACTATATCTTTGTCTTTTTAAAATGTTGAGGTTTATTCAAGTCTGATAAGCTTCAGTTCCACACTGGGAAATAAGCTTTTAAAAACTGCTCTTCCTACAGTGTTGTAATAATTTATTCAAAACTACTGGCAAAAACCTGTAAAACTCCTCAGAAAGAAGACCCAAGTATTAAAGTTTCTTTTGAAAAGAAATCAGAATCATGATTCAGTATTTTCCCATGTTGCGCCTCTAATTTTTCCCTGCATTAGATTAATGACAGGATCCACTTTCCAGTAAAGCAGCTCTGAAGGGCTGCATAAGCACTTTAATGAAGCCTGTTGTGAGACACATCTCTCATCCAGGGTGCAGTATGTTTTGCTTATGTGGACAAAGAGAGTCATGTATTTATACATATATGCACTTGTATGTTTTTAAAACTTAGAGCTATCTTAATTCACCAAGGTTGAGATCTGACCAGAATTCCTTCCAAAAAAGCATGTTGATAGAATAATCAAAATATTGACATAAAAATAAAACTAAGTAATTATTGCACACCTTTTCCCCACCACCTAACTGCCTGTGCACTAACTTTCATCTGCAGATGATCTGTCTTTGAACTGTGCAGATGACATCCAAAGGCAGTGACATAAAAATATAAAACAATGGAAATTACTGTTACATACTTGGAATTTTACACACAGCTGGTCTTAGAAATCTCATGTGAAAGAAAATTACTGTGTACACAGAAATTTTTTTGCAAAAATAAGGTTTTTCTTTCTAGGACTAATGCCATAGTGAACTAACACTGCTTTGCTACTTACCTGTGTGCTTGGTTCTTAAGGTTTAATGCTCCCGTCTGATGCAGCTCTTCAAGCTGTTTTCTATTTCCAAAATACAGGGCAAGGTCTGTGGCGATGATGGCTTTCCGGATGATCTCAAGTACTTGCTCATATTCGCTGGAGCTCAGATTGGAGAAGACATTGTGCCCTTCCAGCTATGAAAAAGTAAAAAACCAATAAAAAGCACAAGCTCTAATTCTGAGATGATTTCAGCCTTTACTTCACCAGACAGGTTACAACGGTTTTACAGCCCCATGACATTTTTTGTTGCAAATTCAAATGTTGACAGCCTGAAATTCCCATTTTTATCTTTCTTTTTTAAATACTGTCATGAAACCTATGACTAAGCCACTGATTTGGTTTTGGGACTGCTCTTTCTGAAGCCTAAAGATATTAATAGAGAAAAATGCTAGCTTTTTCTTCTCTGATTTATAAGCACTACAGACACAGCACTTCCAGACAGTATTAGCTTGGGAACTTGCGATTCAATCCTGATCCAGAGTACTGCATTGCCAAGTTGGTAATCTGAGTGTCTGATTCACTCTGAAGTACAATTTTGATACTGCATAACACATAATACGGATAAGGAAATATCCAAGTTAAAGTACTAAAATGATTTTGTTTTCACAGTGTTCCAAATGAAATGTGCCTGAAATTGCTGCATTTACTGATACAATTTTCTCTATAGAAATAAAGTTAATTACAGTATTTTAATGTATATGAACATTTAGGGGAAAAAGCTGCTTTGTTCAACCATGAGTTGACTGACTCATAAACTAAAGACAACGGTTTCCACTATGGAGGCTCTGGTAACATGCCACTGTCATCCCTTTTCAATTTCCACTATGTATTATTGTGCATTTAACTGACGATATCCATGTACTGTGATCGCTCATGAAGCTATATCACATTTTGAAAAGTCAACACTATTCGCTGTCTCTAAGATTTGGAAAACAACTTGTCAAAAGTCTTCCTAATGTTGAGAGGAAACAAAGAAAAATAAGAAAGAATGAGCCAGCCATGTCAAGGTGTGCACATTCACAAATAGAAAATATTATTAAAATATATCAAAGGCAGATGTGTTTTGACATTTAATTGGCATTTGGGCTGAAGCTCATAAAAAGTTTCCCTGACTTTTGTCAAGCATTTACATAATTTGTTCAAAATAAATCCTCCATGGTACAAACAGGTTTGGTTTCTCTCACCATCCGGAACGTAAATGTCATTTTCCAACATTTTTACTTGGACAAGCAGATTTATTGTGAATAATGAATAGAAAATACAATCTGTCTATGTCTCAATGCTCCTTTGACAGACTCCTAAGTCATAGAACATGATATTTAAAATAAAAGTTCAGAACATTTTAACCCACCATCAACACTTTGGGAGCAGGAAATTACTACTACTAGTTTTCATGATTTAGGGATTTGGAAACCCTTTCCTCTCCAACCTTGCTGCCTAATCCACAAGAACAGGCTATTCGTCCTAATATTTAAATTATTCTAGATTCTATTCTTTAGAATCTTTAGAATTCTTTAGAAGCTGCACTATCAGAAAGACTACTGTGACAGCATCTGTTCATACTACTAGTAAAGAACTGATTCTGTTAAGTACTGACAGAAGCAGCCATTTCTGAGCATGTCACTCAAGCTTTTGAGTAGTACATACAAAGTACAGCTCCTTAGGTTTTATTCTTTCCCTGCTGAGCTAAAGCTAGTGAATAGAATCCTCTGTATTCCTAAGTATGGTGTACCCTAGAACTGCAGGTGGATGAGCAAAGCAGCTATAAAGTTTCAAACAGTGAAAAGAACTGCAGGTTACTAACATAAAATTAAAACTCAATGAGATACACCCTAAAGGGTTTGATGCATTGGTTGGCTTTTTTTTGTAACGGTCCAGGAATTCAGTAAGGCTTTTTGATTCAAACAAAAACCAGCAAGTCCAAAAGGCTGCTCTAATCTGCCTTTGCTGCTAATCACCATCCATGGGCACTTGGGTAGCCAGTGTCCAAATCCACTCTACGCTATGACCACCTATCTCCCTTTCCTCACCCCCACCGAAGGCCAAGGATAGGAGGTAGTAGCGAAGCAAAGGGGTTCCCTGCCTTCTTGGCAAATGGGACTTTCACCGATTACAACATTTCTGCAGGAAAAATGCAAAATGGCTTTTGAGGAATGACTGAAGTCTGCTTCACACAGCCATTAGTGGGACAGAGAAGTGTTAATGACTGAGGAACTTGCTCACTGTGCACAAACTCACATGAAAAATGAATACTAAAAGTCTAATGCCATACCACCACTGAAGGATTCAATTACACCCTCCTACATGGAAGAGCATTCAGAGATAAAGCTTCCATTCTCTGATGAAATGTATGAGATACCTAAAACCATAATCACAAGATGTGCTTCTGAATACAATACAGAATATGTATTTTTCCTAAAAGGTGATTAGGTATTTAAGAAAATAAAGATCTTCCCCCTGAAAGACCAGAAAGAAAGAAAAGTTAACAACGAATTAGAGGCCCAGTAGCATGGTAAGGCTGTGCATTGAGCGTGTGCATGGTAAACTAAAACCAGTGAGCACAAGTATGTTATGGACTGGCAGTGGTTTCATAGGTGAGAGTTCTCACTCTTTTAATTGAGCATGAAAAAAATTTTCACTGATGAGAAAATACCTGTGTGTCAGTGGCACACGTGGATTTCCCAAAATGTGTCTGCATGCTTTCTTGTAGTTTTCTATTCATTGAACATACAGACACATTACCTCATATTAGGAACTCTCTTTCATAGAATATTACCTTACTCATTTTTTTTTTTTTTCCCAAATTGCTGAATAATAAAAAAGCACATGATAACATAATGAAACAAGTTTAAACTTTTCATGCGTGCAAAATTAACATTTCCTCCTTCATGCCACACACTTAATGTTCACGGAATTTATTACAGCAGGTTTTCAAGCTTCTCATGCAAACTTTTGCCAGTACTTGAGTTTTTATTCAGAATTTCAGGATGGTTGAAGACTTTATTGAAGCACATTATGCCGGAAATACCTAAGTAAGTGAGAAACTGATTTTTCATTTTCAAAGTTCCTATTCCATATGGTCATAGGAAAAACCCTCATTGACCCAGAAGCTAAAAGCTCCAAAGGAAGGTCATGAGCAAAGACCGTCAAATACACAATATTTTTTATAAGATCAAGATTTTGGGAAAGCTACGTTTTGCACTATTACTGAATGCTTGGGTTGCTAATTGTGGAACCTGGCTTGCTGTAATAAATATTCCACTCTTCTAAATGAGCACTACAATCCAGAAATTGAATTAAGCATGCTTCAGAAAATCTACTGGGTAATGATGTGACTCCTATTTCCACCACTGGACTCTACTGCACAGAAGATACAATTTCAATAATCCTACCTGCAGGATGGACACAGTCTGCGAAAAGTGGTGCTGTTCCATTGTTGACGTGGAATAGAGAGCAGCTAAGGGGTGATCAAATTTCTGAAGATAGCTGTTGCTGTAACCTCTGTGATCCAGGTCATGACACAGGCATGCAACTAAAAGACCTTTTCGCTACAAAAAAATTGAGATAAATATGAAAAGTAAGATGGATTTCCTGCCCCTAGGTGTCACTCTCTTCCCAAAATACTGTAAAAATTAGACTATGCTTACACTGCCTTCAAAAAGCATATGGAGAAACATCCTTAAAATTGCAAGAAACGTGAAGTAAGGACGTGCTGAATTAAAATTCTTGGTCCAATTGTAATTCAAACCTTTTATATAATATGAATTTAAAAAGCTTTGTTGCACAATCACATACTATTGCAGGGATTCTGCTTCATGAAGAAATCAGAGTTTTAAACAGATAGTCTGGTCATCCACTGAATCCTTACCATGTTTTTTAAAAAAATAAAAAGTGCAGTTATCAAGGGAGAGGAAATACATAAGATGTATGATCTCCTGGTCAAAGTCCGATGCTAGACCTGCCTCTGCAACACCCCTCGAAGACACTGACCAAGTGTCCTAGGTGAAACTTTTCCTAGGAAGTCACTAATGTGAGCTACAGAAATGCTGGACAACAGCAATTGCAAACAAAGTAAGACGGTAACTGATTTTTTTATTTAACTAACTCTTAATATCCTGAAGAAATGGAGTCCCTGAAATCTCTCATTCAACACACAAAATATGTGAACACTTGCAAAAGCTATTCACACTGCAGGTGTGTTTTGAAAACACATTCATTAATGTTTGTGAAGCAGTCACTGTCGGCATGGAGTATCACAAAAATGTCTTTATATTCTTAACAGCTCTGTCTTATAGTTGGTTCTGATGAGCGTTCAGTAAACAAGGATAAGCTATAAAATGAAGCAGAAAAAGACTACTGATTAACCTCCTATTAAGTGAGCAATATCCAACCTATATACTCTACTAAGAGGCACATCATTATGTGGAAAAATAGCAAACAATGATGTAACTAAAGATTTTATGACAAATATACGATGTGCAGAATTAAGGTTGTAGCAACCTTAACAGTATTTCTGATTTTGAGACCTTTGCTTTTATTTTAAATCCTTCACTTTTATTTTTAATGATGCCTTTTCAATATCGCATCTTGTGAAGTACATTTTTAAAAGGCACATAATAAAACAGATGATGCAGCAGCACACATCCACACAGATCCTCAGCAGAAATGGAACATAACACACACCTATATTATTTGAAGTCGTGCAGTAACAGCTGTAGGAAGCTGGTATCCCCTTTTTACTACTGTCAGAAGGGGCAAGACGTTTAACCAACAGACTTGAAAAACGGTCTCTGACAGCAAAGGAGAGCTGAGTCTCAGAATCCTTTGTGCTACATGTCAGATCTACCAGGCATGAGCTTTTCTGTTCTTCCCCCACAAGTTTAATTCTCTGGTTGCATCCTTTATAACCTGTGTTTTTCCAGTCTTACAATTCTCATCAGTCTGTCCCTTGTACCAGATGGTTCTCTTTCTCTAGCTTGTCCCAGTCTCCGCATCCCAGGAAGTCATTCTTGTCTCAGTCCTTCAGGATTATACAATGCCTAATCCCAGTGCTCTTGACTTTGTACCCATTGTCCCTGCTTGGATCCCAACTCTTTGGCCACTGCCAACTGCTGGATCTATTTGTCTCTAGATCAGAGTCCCCTTTACTGTGTTTCATACTTCTCCTCCTGTCTCTAAGTCTATCGAGGTTCATGTCATTATCCCTCACCTGAGACCAGCCCATCCTAGTTCCCCAAACTTTCCTTCAGCAGTTTCCTGTATTCTTGTTGGATTCATCTCCAGTCTCAAGAGAGGAGACTGCTAGAAAGAGCTGGAACATAGACTGGGATAAGGCATTCAAACAGGTGAAGGCTGGCAGGGAACAAAGACTGTTTCCATCTCTCTTAACAGCTGCCTCTTTTGCTCTCCCCGTCTTTCTTACTCTGCATCTCCAAAAGGATGGGGCTTACTACTTGGTTAGTACTGAATGTTATCAGAGCTCTAAATATTCCCCGAGGCTGCAATCCACAGATTTTTGCTGTTAAAGGAATACTGATTTTTTCAAACTTGTATAGCTTTGCCAACTTTCAGCATATGCCTGGCAAATGCCACTTTCCTATTTCAGTGTCAATTTTCAAGTCCCTGCTTTACAGCAGAATAAACTAGACCTTTTCAAATGAAAGATCACCAAATTTTATTTTACTCTGACACAGTGAACAAAAACTTGATTTCTCCTAGCATATTTCTTTAAAAAAGCCAAGCATTTTTGGCTGAAATTTCCCCAAATGAATCAGCTTGAGGAAGTCACGGAGCTTGGAAAATTACAGCCCAAATGGCTAGTATTTGGCAAAGTTATACATAACTGAAAACAGGTTCTCCCAGTCAGAAGTTTCAGGTAGTATTAATAATAGACAGCACTCCCAGTTGCACCTACCATAATTCAGAAAAAAAACAAGTGACAATTCTTTATAGTGTATATTAACATTTAAACATTCTAAGCCTTCCATTTTACTATTATAACTTTTCCAGTAGTGATCTATTAAAAGTTTTGTTTTTTTTCCCTGATTTTTTCAAACACTATGCATTTATCTTTAAAATATGTACATGCATGCTAAGGAAAACTGTTGTATAATAAAAGTTAATCAGTGAATTAGCACATTTGGACAACCGTTTTCCTTCCATCCTTTCTACTCTTCTCCGTTACTCACATATGTCAACCACCTCTGCAACCCTTGTCCTCCTATTCAGGACCTCCCAGACCTCACAGGGTTCAAGATCAGTGTGTTTCCCTCCCCTCAGTACAGATCTGACAGTTAGTTAAATAATTAAAATAAAGACTGTGGTTGTCAATGGGCAGGGAGAACCTCAAAATGTGGACATGGACTTATAGCAAATCTGCTACTGCTTCTTCAGTGGGCAGACCTGAAAAACGTGAAGGAAACACTAGGATTAGGAATCTGAATAATTCTCCTTCCTCAAGCTTTCTACTCACACCTGTTTCTCTGCAGGGACCTTTATATACACTCTGCCCAAGCTGACAGCAAAACTCTAGCATAGAAAATGCACTTCTGCGATGGCTGATACCTCTGATGAGGTCTGATACAATCATCTCACCTACCTCTAGATCAGTGAAAAGCCCCTGGTTGTTCTGAAGTATGGCATACATGCAATGTGCAACAGTAACTGCATGCTTCCAGTTGTGGTAGGGCACACGGCGATAGTTCTTCTTTACAGACATAGTAAATCGGCATAGCTTTTCAAGTTCAAAGCTAGAAAGAAATTAATTTGGTCAGAGACAAGAAATAAGAACGGGAAGAATAACCAACAGAGGAGAAAAGATGCTCTTTGATTTACTCTTCTTGCTAGGATTGACTCTCATTGCAGATGACTCATTGATTTTAAGAGTCATTCAAGTTTTGGCAAGGACAGAGGAGCGTGGATACCTGACAATGCTCTTAGTTTAATCTGTGAAGTTCTGGAACATAAGTCAAGCCACCCAGCCCAGGCAACACAACTGCATAACCTTCCCTGCTCCCAGAAACTTGAAGTGTGGTTTCTTTAAATTGTTATCTGTTCAACCTGCCAAATAATAAAACTCTGCTTCTAATGGGCAGCTTGAAAACCTCATTTGTGATCAAAACATAAAATCAGGGATTTTTAAGCAAATGACACAGAAGAAATAATCCTGTTTAAATTAAAATTTCAAACACCAGATGCGTAAATTGTTTTGAATAAAAGAAGTTGAGATGCTCCGTATTGACATCGTGAAAAGAAGAACATTTTACTTTTTCCAAGACTTTAAGATTTTTTTTCCAGTTTGGCCAAATGAACAGAAATTCACATTTCACTGTTTCTTCATTTTTCACCAAACAATATTTTGTTAAGTAATTGCCGGTCAATCATGAAAATGATCCAAATGTATAGCATTTATGGGATTATTTCTTAAAGGACTTTTTTTTATATTTTTGCTATTAATATAGACAAGCAAAATGAATTTATGATCAAGAGTATTTTCATTAAGGTAATAATAAACAACAGTAATAAAGTAATTGTTATGTTTGGCTTATGTGCTCATCAAAAAACACCTCTGAGAGAGTTCATATTCTGTAGTACCAGAGCTCTGCACAATCTTTAATAGACTTTATCTACCAATGTTCCTTTGAAAGGAAAGCTGAATACTTTTTGTTTACAGATGGGAAATTCAGGCACAGATTAGCTATCAGGTAAAATTTTCTAAATTTTCTAAAATTTTCTAATCCGAGCTGCCCGGGGTGAAAAGGGCACTTGACCCCAGAACTGAACTGCAGATGCCAGAGTCCCAAGTCACCGACTTTCTCCCTCATAAGCAGATCAGTTTTCCTTTATTCTCATTTTTTCCCCGTTACTATGGTTTGACTTTAAGTTCCATGTTTTGATAATTTCTTGGGTATCTCAGGGAAGTGGTATTAACGTTCTAGTTTTGCAGTACATGAGGGCTGAGAAAACAAAGCTGAATGTCTCTGACCCACATGTAAAAATGTAAACACATTTACTATATGGAGCCAGTTAGATAGAAAAACATATTTCTGTGGTTGTGTGCTGAGCAAGGTAATTATTCTTCTTAGCCTCAGTCTGACATTAGTAAAAATGAAGGTCTTTCAAAAACGCTTTAGGCTTTCTTTTTTAATTCTAGAGAGTTAAGTCAGACAGCTCTAGAACAATTGTTAGAAATACTGTTTAAAATAGTACATCATAATTCAGAATATCACACTATATGGAGCCAGTTAGATAGAAAAACATATTTCTGTGGTTGTGTGCTGAGCAAGGTAATTATTCTTCTTAGCCTCAGTCTGACATTAGTAAAAACGAAGGTCTTTCAAAAAAGCTTCGGGCTTTCTTTTTTAATTCTAGAGAGTTAAGGCAGACAGCTCTAGAACAACTGTTAGAAATACTGTTTAAAATAGTACATCATAATTCAGAACATCACAATAGTCACTTCCATCTACATCCAATATCAACTCAATGGTTACTACGGACTAGTACAGTTGTAGCCAAAGGGAAAATCAATGCTACCTCAATGTAGAATACTATTACTTCCTCCACTGCTGTATTTTGTATACTCGATTAAAGCAGTAAAAGATTAATTCTTCATGAGAGCAAAGAAAATGTAGCCAGTATCATAGATTTTTCTCCAAAATCCTTCCTGGACAGGACAGTTATACGTTACATAGATGTATACTTAAAGGCACAACTTTACTCCTCAATATATTAAAAATCAAATTTTAATCTTAAAATAGCTGTACTTGTTTCAGAGGGTTGAGAAGTTTTGTTCTTTCAGAAATTAAATACAAGTCCAGTCCCAACAGCCTCCTTTTCAAATATTTTCCCCACTTTTGTTTCTTTAACTTTATATGTGAAAGCTGAGAGTCAATTTGAAAAACGTCAAGTAGGTATCAATTCTTTCCCATCAAAGTCACACCTTGAAAGAAAGCTGAAAATCTGAAACCCAGTCCTGCATCCACAGCCTTTCAAACAGGAACGGAAACCAGCTAACTACACCGAGCAGTACAGAACTGTATTTAGAACAGTCACCCACTTTGCAGTATTGAAGAAGACACGAGAAAGACACTCAGGTTTGACTGTATGCTTTGAGAGCACGGAGATTCATCCAGTTACTAAGATGAAACAGTCACCAGCAAATGTTTCCCAAATGTTGCTCCTTTTTGCAGGGAGATACTTCCCCTTGCAACTCTCCATCTGTAGACTTTTTCTGTAATTCAGAGCAGCTCCCTTCTTTCAGCAATGGGACATACTTAGCCAAGAGACTACTGATCTTAGTAATGATAACGGACACTGACAGAAAGGACAATAAATGAAACATTTCATTTGAAAATCATTCACTTCCATAATTAATGCACAACGATGCCAATAATGATTTATTTAGCAAGATAAGATATAACCTTGGATTATTTTAACCATATACTATATTAATTTCAGCAACTATACATTTGAAAAATCAGTATTCATGGACCTTCTCTCCTTTATGGCAAGAGTGCCTTTAATACCTTCACCATCTTCCGTCTGAAAAGCAATCTCATCTCAGAACCAAACAATACTTCTATATATTGGAAGGACAACTGTTTGGATGATATCATGAGTTCTTTTACCTGGCTGTTCCCAAATTTTATTAACTGAAGACCAAGAAACTGGGACAAGAAATCCAGCCTGCTTATTACAGCCCTGTACAGACCAGACATAGTAAATAAACTCCAAAGAAAATAAGACCTTGAATTAGAAAATAATGATCTCAAAATTTCCTAATAAATAAACACATAACAAACAGAATTAAAGCAATAAATCATGTACTTCATACCAGGCTGTCCCACAGGACTGGTGAACCATGTAGACAAAAATGGCAGGCCAGACATCCTCATACGGACTGATATCAAAGTGGTATCTAAGAAGAAAGTTTCAGCTTAGTAAGGACAAACGCCTTTTCATTCTTACTAAAAGCAACTACGTAATGTATATCTGACAGCATTCACTTGTTTCTGAACATATACAGAAAACTGACTTTACAGGCTATATTTTCCAGCAATGTAAGTTAATATATTTCCGCTAAGGTCAATGGAACTATGCTTATAGAATCAGAATCATTTAGGTTGGAAAAGACCCTTAAGATCATCGAGTCCAACCGTTAGCCTTTGGTTAGCCTTTGGCTTTGTTTAGTTAATAGGAACATAAATCTTTATTGAAGACGCCATTGCTTAAGTAATGTACAAAAATCTTTGTTCTACAGGGATGATGAGAGCTTTACAAGCACTCCTAACATATTCCAGACTTTCCTCCCAGGAATTGTAAAAATGGTGTCTCTAATAATACTTTTACTGGCTTTTTTTCAATAATTTCTGTCACAAATTCAGTGAGATTCGCTCTAATTTTGATAGAGGAAAAAGATCAACTTTTACTGGCTAATAGAAATTAAGCCCAAACTTCAAAAATCAAACATTTAATACTGCATTTTTTATGTTTCATTAGCTGAGACCTTCCCTCTCCTGATATCAACTTTTAGCCCTAAAATTAGGGACCCGCTCAGCAGAACTGTTTGTCCTTCGATTATTAATTAACCCCTTTGCCTGCACCTGCTGTGCTGCAATTCTTCTATTTACTTTCCATTGAACCCAGCTAAATGTTTGCATGTACGTGGCATACTGAACAGCACAGCAGGTACAAGAGAGCTGAAGGTAGCTGAATTGCTTGGAAAATGGTTAAATGTGTTCAGATTGCTCAAACTAAAGGATGTTAATATAATTTAGAATGAAACCTGTCATCTTTGCAAGTAAACGTAATTTTTGCTGAGGAGGTAGGTTATATAGTATCATCTAACAAAGCACAAGAAATTGTATTGGAAAGAGTAAGCTTCTATTAGGGTGCAATCCTGCAAGCTGCTAATACTCCAGCGTTCAAGCAAATCAATTCGGCATGTAATGAACTTTAACTGTAAGCAGTCCCTGTGAAGCATACGCTTGCATGCTTTGCTCACTCACAGCTACAGTGCTCAGCACCTGACAGGAGTGAGAGAGCTCTGGAGATCAGGTTTACGAAGACAACTTGGATTTTGTGACTCAGCATCATAGAGTTCTGATCTTAGGCATCTGGTCACTACAGTAGATTTTATTGTCCTGGGCCAGAAACAGTGACTAAAAAATGAGATGACTCCCAGTGTTAGCGTTGAGTAGGGACTGACTGATAAAATACAAATAGAGGTCCATCTTCAGGACACAGCAGATCCTTGATAGCTGAAAATAACTGAATTATTTCAGAGAAAGCTTAAGAGGCTGGATAGGAAGCCCTCCTCCAAATTTAGGCCGCAACTCTAAACTCTAGCACCCGGGATTCATAACCCTGAATTATCTTCAGAAGTTTGGAGATCTGTATCCGTTTCCCCCTCCTTTAAGAAGCACAAGCAGATGCACAAAATACACACAGCAAAAAAAAAACCAACCAAAAACCCAAACCCCAACCCCTCCCCCCCAAACCCAAGAAACACGCAACCCAGAAAATCCCAGGAACGAGCTGAATCTTTTATTCTAAAACATATACAAGGGGATGAGATCATGCATTTGGTCTTAACTACTGATGTTCCAGCTCAGCCTCCTCTCTGTCTCGGAACTGTTGGTGACTTGGGACTATCAAAAGAAAGCTCATCTCTACAATCCTTAGATATAAACTAATGCTTAAAGCAACTACTATAGCTACCCATGCCTGAGGAAAATGCTACCATTCTGAGTAGGTATTATTTTACATCTTTGATAGATAAATTTTGTTCACAGGTCATTAAGTATAACTAAGTATAAGAAAGCCAGACATAAACCTCTATGATTTTGGGATAGTTCAATAATAAAAGTGCTTCCTACAAAACTCTCCACTACACCTAGGAAAAAAGTAAATCATCTTTTCCATAGATTGATACAAGATGCAACTGTCGCTATATGAGGAAAATACTTACAGTTCAATTTCTTTATAAATATGTGGAGGCAGTGTACAGTGCATGAGGTTTTGCCACTCTTCTGCTGTACAAACACTGTGGTAGGATAGCTTCTCCATCGTTACACGGTAAATACACTCTGAATGGCGAATTCTGTGGTACATCTGAAAAAGGGAAGTCATTTATTAATGTGAAATTTTAATAAAGGAAAAAACCATCTCTTTCCTGTATTCAAGCACTTATTCTTAAAATACACCTCTGCAAAAACGTTAGTGCGTTTGGCTGCTCAACTTCACACATTAGAAAAGCGACAGATTATATTAAAATTCAGTACTTCTGGAAAACTGGGCCTCCTATCACATCATTCTGCATCTACTCATTCGGGTAAACATCTAAGGCTCGGCTGATTTTTCACCCCATCTGAGCTCTTCCAAGAAAAAGAATCAAAGTTCAGGAGTTAGAAACAGAGCTTAGTCCCTTGCAATATGCTAAAAAAAGAAAACTGGTAACAGAGCACAATTCATATTTTGTGCCACTGCATGAATTCAGCTATTAATTGGTACAAATAACTGCTACCTATGCACAGTAAAAAGTACATGAGATGTTTATCATACCTACATTACTATGCAATAGCTGTGAAAAATAAGTACAGTTAATTATTGAGAGGTTCAGACAGCTATTGCAGACATGGCATGGTTTGTAAACAAGCGAGGACACAACAATTTTACTAGTGAAGATAAACCTCTGGAGCAGTATGCCCTGAATGGTAACATTCACCATCTAAAAAGGAATGAACCCACACACAGTTGAGTGATTGCATAGACCCAAGTTTCATTTATAGGCAGGCCTTTCTACTTGCCTTGAGTCATGTGGAACAAGTTTAAATAATTGTTAGTAAAATTTGCTGCCCCAGTATACTGGCAGCATGATGTTGGAAAAATGGCTTAATGTATATCACCAGGCTTAACTGGCATTGCATTGTGTCTTACCTCCCATGAATATGACACATTTCTTCTGCATTGCATTTTTATACTTATATAGTCATGATCATTAAATTGCTTACGCTTCCTACGGGAATAGTAATTTTTGTGACGATAAAGGGTTTGAAAACAAAAATAGCTATCCACTCTTATCTAGAAGCATGGATAATTATGAGTATAAATGAGCATATAAAAGTATACATTGATATCTTTGAATATTAAGCATATGGAATCGAGAGAATACATAACATCTCCAACCCCCAGTTAAATTTGTAAAACATGTGATCTGAATTTATAAAAGTAAATAAGAATCATACTTTCTAATGGAAAAGAGAAGACAGATATCATTCACATTTCAGAGCTTGCTCTCTCAGTTTAGCTACAAGAAATTGATGTATCCAGAGTACAATTATTTCAGAAAGCATCAAATGAATCCCTGTCATCCTCTTAAAATACAGTTATTCAGGAAAGAATTCAATGATTCCTGTTTCCTCAGGAAACAGACTTATGAATCACTTTAATAATCTAGAACATCAAAATCCTTAAGTAGGATTCTAAGTCTTCCCATTATAACCAACAGCTTACAAAACTGTAAATAAAACTTACATTAGCACAGTGTAAGGCTAAAGCACAAAAGACTGCAAACATTTTAAAGTTGTTCTCATCAGTTTTAGAGAAGGCACTTCCACTTATTTTGTTCACCATCTGCACAACACCTATTACACTTCCTCGGCTTACAATAGGCATGCACAGGATATTTCTGGTTGTGTAGCCTGTGTAGAGGTCTACTTCTCTGGAGAGCCAGAAAAGAGAAATGAAAAAAAGAAAAGAGTTCATATTATTAATTAATATCTATTCCTTGATTCTCAGAAATGTTGATGTACAATATACTAAATAGTTTTAAAGAAGATGTAATTAGTACATGCAAGAAGTTCACCTCCAAAGCTCTCAAATATTTCCATCTACTGTGTCATATTTAGAAAGAACTTTTTAATCCTTTAATCTCCACTTGCAAGATAAAGAATTAATACTTCCTCAAATGTACAATCAGCTTATTCATAAAATTAAAGAATACATTCAGGTACTTAGGCATGCTATTTGCTAGTGAACTTTTTTTTCCTCCCCTGAAACTAATCAGATTGTAGGGAGGCTAGTAAAGAAAATCAGCAACAGTCTACCTAACTAGGCAAAGTTCCGTAACAGGAAAAATAACTAAGTTTTTCTCCATTATATCTATATTTGATAAAAATAACACTTTTTATTTGTATCTTTAAAATATTTCCCATGGCTAAAGCATTTAAATAGATATCTGTAGGTTGTCTCCTCATCAGAGGATCACAGCTCCATTAATGCATTCTAATATGAAATTTAAGTAGTAAATTTAAGTAAAAGTTTGGTGAGCTATCTTCCCCTCCCATGAATAACATCCTACCTGTTAAAGCGTGGATCTGCATAGGCATCAGGGATGTTAAGGACTTCTCCTGTTCTTGCCACTTGACCAGCTATTCCTTTTTCTATAGAAAATCTGCAGAAAATAAAAATGTGTGTTAGCCACAATATGAGCTACCTGGAAAAACATTTTTCCAGTGGAGTCTGTCTTGGGCACGGTAATGGATATTTGTTCTCAACCAGCGTCATTTTGATGCTTTCAGGAGAAAAATCTTACAAGAGAACAACTAGTAGTAAATAATAAAATAAAAAAGCACATACCAACAGATACTTTCTGAAAACATTTTATGCAACTACATAGCTTAATACAAAAGATGCCATAATATGACCATTTTAGTGACAAAAATTCAAAGTCTTTAATAACCCTGGGGGTTATGCCTAATAAACATGACATTTGTACAGAACCCGAGACCTGTGTTTACCTTTACAAGCTATTGATTTTATAATCACTTTTACCTATTCATTGTTTCTTTAGACACGTCATAGGCAATATGGAGCTTGTTTCTTCGGGGGGGAGGGGGAGGTGGATTTGGTAAAATAAACTTTGGAAAAAGACCAGTGGAAATTTCAAAGCTAAACATTTTATGCGTTTGCCATGTACACTTCAAAGTAACTAGCTTGTTTCATCTCATACATGCAAACAAGGCCATGGTACTAACTGCATCCCTTAATCACCACAAGAAAGTTAAACACAACAAATATATTCTGGAGTTGAATCAGAAAAATCTGTAAGTCTGTCTTGCGAGGAAATAACTTTCAATTCTTTGACATAAAACAGTTATGACATACAAACACAAAAGAACTTGTGGAGAAAAATAAGTAGAAAGAATCACATGTGGAACACTTTCCAATCCTGCCCCCACTGAAGTTAGTGACAAAGCTGACAGGATTTCACCCTGCACACCTGATTTTAAGTTAGTTTCTTCTGCTGCTTCTTATGATATGTACATCACACCAACTTAAGGCTCCTTCCTGATGAATGACTGACTTGGTGTCACTTTCTTACAGATATTTAAGTTGTACTTCTCTTTCAGTATACAGCACCCACGAAACAGCTCACACTCTTGCACTCAGAGTCAACATTAAGTAATTTTCATACAGAAAAGACAGAAAGATATAAGCAAGAAAAACAATTATCAGGAAGGAGTATGAAAGTGTATGTTAAAGCAGGCCACCTTCTTTAATTTACACCACCTCCTTGCTTGTCAGTATGTAAATCGCACCAATTTTGACTCCTTCCATTCTCACTCACACAATGCAGTAAGTGGGAGTAAGTTTGTCTAAAGGACTCTAAGTGAAGACATGAATCATATCTCATATTGGCCCAGAACTTGAAAAGTGTAAGGAGGAAACGAAAAAAATTCTGAGAAAATCTATGCTGAGTATTTTAACAAAATTTTCGTGCAGGGTATTTAGTCATACATTTCTTTCTTTTTAAGAACCTGCAGGTTTAAAACCTGTGTGTCTTTGAAAATCTCGATCTGTATCTATTAAGGATTCATAATTTTTGAAAAGTGAAAAATGTTATATTTACTTTGTTGTTTTGTCTCTTTCATTAAAAAAATGTGCATACATATAAAAATTATGTACTTATGACATGAAGCAGAAATACACATCAATTTTAGGCAGAGAATCCTATGCATTCATTACAAGCCCATATACATTTTCAAATTCACCACTTGAAGCACACTTCAGAATCACAATTACTTAAAAGTTCGAAAATACTCTCAATTCACATGAGAAAAAGTAAACTAAATTACTAGACTTGAAATCTTCAAAACCAACGACCAGTCCATACTAGATTCTACATATGCCTAATCCATCCGTAAGAAGTACAAATTGTGATCTCCTTGCTTTGGATGTGCTTGAATCGCACAAATTTCAATTCCTCTTGGGAACCCTCTTGGGAAAAAAAGTCTCATACTGCCAGACTACGCATTAGGTGCACCTTTACCTGCACCTTTACCTACCTCAGAACACTCTGTTTTTTTCCCAACATGATTTCCAAAAGGACCGCCTCCGGAAGACGGCATTTCCAGGAGTGACGTTATAGCTTCAGAGACGTTGTTTCGATGGCACTGCAATGTCATTCCCAGAAGTACTACCTTCTGGAGGCGGGTCCTGGTGGGAATGATATCACAGTATGACAAGTATTGTCAGGGTACCTGCAGATAGGCACAGAGACTGGGTAATAAAATGCCTGCACATCCATAGTTATAATGAAACTGCATTCTTCTGCTAGCTACTCTTACCTTATTTCTTTGGTCTTCTTGAAGACAGGTTTCCCATCATTTTCTTCTCCAATATCAAAAAGGTCTGAATACAGCTCCTTATTTTTGTGGTCAACCTGGAAGAGTGCACACCTATCTGCATTCACCAGGTTTTTTGCATATATCTATAGACAAAAAACAAAACTAGAGTTAACGGTCATGAGTTAGATTATCTTCAGTCATTTATCTGATAAAAACATAAGTCCCTAGAAGATAACAGTTTTGAGAAATTATCCCGTATGAAAATCTGTTTGAAGGAGCATCCACCTTCACAGCAATCTTTTAGGATACAATTCAAAATGAAAGTGTGTCTTTTATTCTTCTTTTTTTTTTTGTAAATTAGACTGTTGTCCTCCTTGAGAAATGCGGGAATATCTTTAGAGGCTTGAATGTTTGCTAAAAGAAAAATGGCTTTCCTATTACACTGGTTTTTAAGTACAAGGAATGCTTTTCAAAATGGTACCTTTCCTCCCTCTATGTTTAAATATTATTCACCTTTTCTTGATTTTAAGTAGATAGGATATAACAAGGCCTAAGAACATTTTTGGCTTTTTGTCTTTATCTTCAATGCAAATATATTGGTATTGAATATCCAGCTGTCCTGGTTTCAGCTGGGATAGTTAATTTTCTTTCTAGTAGCTGGTATAGTGTTGTGTTTTGGATTTAGGATGAGAATAATGTTGATAACACACTGGTGTTTTAGTTGTTGCTAAGCAGTCAAGGACTTTTCAGGTTGCTAAGCAGTCAAAGACTTTTCAGCTTCCCATACTGGCCTGCCAACGAGAAGGCGGGAGGTGCACAAGAAGCTGGGAGGAGACACAGCCAGGACAGTTGACCCAAACTGGCCAAAAGGCCATTCCATACCATATGACGTCATGCTCAGCATATAAACTGGAGGGAGTTGGCTGGGGCACAGTCGCTGCTCGGGGACAGAATCATAGAATCATTAAGGTTGG